AAAAAAAAAAAAAAAAAAAAAAATGTTTTCAGGAAGCCCATCTGGGGACCGAGCCCCACGCGGGATCGCGACTGGGTCCGGGGCACCCTCCAAGTAGTTCCTAGCTTGCCCTGTTGCCAGCTAGGAAGACCTGGGGCCTGATAATCCACACACCTCCTGATAACATGTCTAAGTCCCCTTCCCCCCATAAACCTCTCTAAGTCGTCTTTTGGTGATGGTGACAGGCATAGACTTGCCAGAGAGACTCAGGGTGGGCACCTGGGCCAGGCTGTGGTTCTGCATGGGTCCTAGTATTGGACCCACTTGGTGGTACACCACCCCCCCCCCATAACATACCCATGCCACCTTCCAAAGGTAAGGAACCGGCCTGGGCTAACAAGTAGACCCACAGAAGGTGCCAAGGGCCCAGGTGTTTTCTGGTTCCAGTCTCAGGAGGGCACCCTGAAGTTTCTATGACCTTCTGTGGAAGCCAGGACAGGCCTAGGCCACACATGGAAGCCCAAGGGGGGCATGCTCAGCTCAGTTAGTGGGGCTCTGTCAACAGATGTGTCCCCCTAAGACATTTCTACGTCCTGAGTTGGTGTGGACAGGCCTGGACCAGCCAGGGAGCTCCAGGCTGGGGGCCTTGAGTGTGCAATGGTCTTGTGTGGGGACCTGTTTTAGGAGGCACCCACCAAAGGCATTTCTAATTCCCTCTAGTGATGTGGACAGGACTGACTAGACCATATGTCCTGGGAGTGTGTCCGTGGCCCAGATGCTATCCTTATGTGCTCTGATTATTGTATTCTTCCACCGTGGGATGGGGGGTACAGGCCAGTAGAGAGGCTCCAGATGACTGCCAACTGGAGAGGACGTCGGTTCCTTTGGACTCTAAACTGTGGGCTTAACTGCAACATCTCCTTCCTCAGTAGCAGACCCCAGGACACACCAGAAGCCTCTGCCTCCTCCACCAAGACCTCCCAGGTTCCCTGCCCTCAGCAGCCAGCTTCCCCCAGGCCAGGTGGGAGAGGACCCGGGCCAGCCAGGACACAGGTGTGAGGACTCAAGCCAGCAAGTGACCTCCCTGCAGGGCTCAGCCAGGGTTTGCTGATCTTTCTGGCTCATAATGCTGTTCTGCTCCAAAAAACAAGCAAGCAAAACAACCCACACTCAGTCACATCACGACCTGAGTCTTAGTAGTGGCATTTTAATGGCTTTTGTTGGTGGGAGGAGCAGCAGTAAGAGGAGAGTCTGCCCCATCCCCCAAGCAAAGGGCTCAGGCTGGGAGCCGGGCATCCCCACAGGCCTAGCCATCCTCTTTCCATTGGACTGAGGCCAGGAAGGTGCGGATTTCCATAGGCTGCAGTGTGACAGTGGCTGGGTCCAGCAAGGAAGGAGTGGGGTGGTGGGTAGGGCCTGGGGAGGGGCAGGAGAAGGAGGAGTGAGTGGGTGCAGATTTCCTCTGCCTCATTCCACTGTGCCCCCTCCCCTGGCCCTGAATACAGACATACACCCCAAAATCTGTCCCCAGAGTCTCACACTCAGATCCTTAAACTGCTTCCCTGGGCCTGAATACAACCTCCACGTCCCCAAACCCTCTCCAATGCCTGACCACTGCCCTCAGACCCTCAAGCCAACCCCAGGGGTGATGGACACCCTCCCAGAACTAGACACTGTCAGAGACTCTCAAATCTTGTTCTTGAGAATAAACTCTATCCCCAAACCCTCAAGACCCACTGCTAGTGGGCTGGACTCACTACAGATCCTTAAGCCCCTAACCTGGATCTGGACATGGCTTTAGATCCTCAAGCTCTACGCTGGGTCCTGGCCAACATTCACACACTGCCCCCGGCTGCCAGCCCCAGGCAAGACCACACCTGACCCCCACCCTGGGGCAGAATCCCCACCTGTATTTGGTGTCCACTTGAGCCTGGAGGCGCTGGCCCGGAGCTGATTGGCTGCCAGAGTGGTCTCCTGCAGGCGGGTGATGGTGAAGGTGGAGAACAGGTCCTGTGCAGAGGGGACAGGACAGGCTCAGTAGAGGCAAAGCCAGGTTTCCCCGGTGCCCCTCTTCCTTGCCTCTCTCATTTCTCCTTCCCACTCTGCCCTCCTCACCCGCAAATCCAAGGTCACGGGAGAACTCAGGTTGCGGCCCGAATCCTCCCCCACGGCGAATTGGTGCTCCAAGCGCAGCAGCAGCATGTCCGGGCCCCAGCGGGCCAGCGTGAGCAGGTGCACTGAGGACGGAAGCTCCCGGCGCAGCCCTGAGAACTGCGGCAAGTGGGGCGGGCTGAGTCGGAAAGGGGAGGGGCTTGGACGGAGAGGGGCGGGGTCTAGCTGTGGTCAGGAAGCGGGGCTGAGCTGTGGGCGGGGCTTATCTAGGAGGCGTGGTCAGGGCCGTTAAAGAGAGCGCTGAGCCAATGAGGGGATGAGGCAGACTCAGGGATGGGGCAGTCCCACGTTGGGGGCGGGTCCCAGCCCGGAAAGGACCGAACTGATCTGGCTGAGACTGGATAATGTTAGAGCGGGGCTGAGGCTACGGCGAGGCGGGGCTGGCCGAGGGGCGGGGCGAGGTGCAGGCTAGAGGGCGGGGCCGAGGTGAGCAGGTGGGAAGGGCTGGGCTGGCACTGGGCGGGGACTGCTCGTGGGATGAGGTTAAGCGGAGCGAGCGGGACTAGCTTATGACCTCCGGGCGAGTGAGAGGCCGGTGAGGTGGGGGGGTCCCGGCTGAGCCTAGGAAAATCGGCACCCAACCCGCTCCCCGAAGACTTCATTCCGGTCCTCTCTTTCTGCCCGCCCGCCTCCCCTCACCTGCGTGCGATGGGTGGTCCCGGGATGGTAGGGGGCACCGCCACCCGGGGCCAGCACCACCTGTGGGGCCAGGACCTCCTTCTCTGCCAGCAGCCGGTGCCCAGCGGCCGCAGTCCGGACCCGGTCCAGCAGCACAAGGTGCCGCCCTCGCACCCACACCCCCAATCCCGCCTCCAGCAGTGGCTCCCCTACTCCGCGTCCGTCGTCTCTCAGCAGCCTTCGGTGCACCTGGGGGGATAGTGGCCCGGAGAGGGTGAGGATTGAGGGTCTTGCGGGTGTTCTGGGCCAGAAATCTGGACACGGGAATGGCGTTCTGTTTCATCGGGGATCACAGCAAAGAAGAGGGACAGAAACCGCCATCAAGTTCCAGCAGGGGGCCAGGGTGGGAACTGCTAGGAGGACCCTGGCTTGAATGGGGCTGGGACCTACTGACCATGAGCTCCAGAGAGCCGTCTCGCAGGCTGCTGCCCCCCTGGGAGCGGTCAGTCAGCACAGTCAGCTGCATGTTCCCGTCCTGGGGAATGAGGGGCGACAGTGAGGGGCAGGGCTTGGAGCCAGCCCCAGCCCCAGGCAGTTGGGAGATGCTGCGAATGGGGGTGACTCCCACTCTGTAGAGTGGGAAGGAGCAGGTGGGGGGGAGGGGTACCGTGATGTAAATTCGGCTGTTGACTGGATAGTAGTTTCCTGCCACCGGTTCAGTCTGGTTCAGGTTCCAGGTGGGTCTATAATCCCGCCTGGGGTGGGGTGGGATTTGGTCAGGCTTGAGGTCCAACTCTCCCCACTCCTCACGCCCCCTTCATCCTCTCCCTCCCACACTCACATGATCAGCCAATGTCCCCACCACCCCTGGGCCACACACACCACAGAGGACCCCTCAGTGCACTCATTCACCCCACCTCCTCTTCAGGATCTCCCGGCCATTGCTGTCTGTGTAGAAGTGTCCCTTTGTCTCCAGTTGCGTGTCAAAGCGGCTGATGACCTCCTTCCCCCAGCCATCGCTGTTCCCAATGGGATGGCAAGATTGTGAGCCTCACCTAACCCCACTCTACCTTTGCCCCCACACACCAGTCCCAGCCTCTGCCACTCACCCCACAGGTATCGGCCCCACCGTCCACTCCAGCTCCAGGTGCCGCTGTCCCGGGTACAGGCGAACCACTTGGGAACACCAGGCTGAGAAGTTCTGGTACACCTCCTGCACCAAGGCAGTCTGTGGGCACATGGGTGGAGGGCAGGTGTCAGCCTGCACGCAGGTAGAGGTGAGCCCGGCAAATGTCCCCTGGGCTGTGGACCCCACAAAGACCTACATCAGGAGCAACCCAACCAGGGTCTGCCCCACAGAAAGTGGCCAAAGTGGTGTGAACAATGTTCCTTGCCCCTTTTGCTCTGCCACTGGCTCAAATGCAGATGTGATGGCTGGAGCCCAAGCAGCCACCAGGGACCATGAGGTGGACACTGAATGTTGAGAAGACAGAGCAACGAGATAGAAGGGGCCTGGGTGACTGTGGAACTGTCCCACCTTTCCTGGATGGCCCAGCCAAACTCTCTGTTAGAAGAAATGAATCTTCTATCTTGTTTTAGGCACAGTTAATTTGGTAACTCTGTTCCAACAGGCAAAACTATATCCTAATACAGTGACCCAGGTATGCACACGTTCACTGCAAGGGGAATCACGCTGAATATGAGTCTTGCCATTAGCTGTCCCATTCCTGCCCTAAAAGGAAACTTCAGTAAGAGGCCCTGGAAACCGCAGTTCCCAGCCAAATGCACCCTCAGATATCCACCCAAGGTGAGACTCAACCAAGCCCTTTACCTTTTTGGGGGGGTCGGGGGAGCTGGTGGGTACTAGGATCCAAACACTTGACCTTGGTGTTACAAGGTGCCAAGACCTACAGAACTGTGAACTCTCATATATCCACCCCAGATATACACTCCTGTCACCACAGACCTGGGTGAACTCTTCGAGCAGCTACACTTGGCTCTCCTCATTCATGGGCCAAGTGGGAACATCCCAACTCCAGTTTCCAAAGCTGAGTATAATCTTGACATCCACAGCAGATGTGAATGTCTTCCTACACGCTTCCTCAAGAGAGATTCTCGTGCAACCAGCCATGAATCTCAGCCCTGTGCGAAGACCCTCAAATATTCCCCTCGGGTCTTAGCCCCTTTACCAAATGGAGAAGTAAATCCTCCCCTCAGCCAGCACCCTGCACATGTCACAACACCCTCCCAGGCTCCACACATCCCCGCTCCCATCCCCAACTGCCCACTCATCATTCCTGGCCCCGGACCTTCACCAGGTGGGTCTGAGCCCAGCGGCTCACGGGCAGGGGTTTCGGTTGGTTGGGTCTGAAGATGTAGGCACCCGAAACCTGGCTGCTTATGCTGTCACCTATGCTGGCATTGTACCTGAAGCCGGGGCAAGTGAGAGTCAGTTAAGGGGCCCAGGATCCAAGCACCACCCTCCCCCTAACCTGGTGGTCCTCTCTCACCAGAAGAAGGCCTGGCGAATGGGCAGCAGGAGTTTCTGGTCCATGTTCTCAATCTCCATCAAGAGCCCCGTGTTACGGTCGAAGGTAGCCCGGATGTACTGGGCAGAAAGGGTGGACAGATGTTAATGACCATCACCTCAGCCAATTGCAGCTCCATCCTTCCCAGGGCTCAGGACAAAACCTCAGAGTCACTCCTGTCTCCTCTCACTCTCTCATTCCTCATACTTGATACTATTAACAAGTCCCAACAGCTCCACCTTCAACCTTATCCTCAATCTAATACTTTCACCCCTCCATGGCTTTCCAGGACTAGTGCAGATGACTCTTTCCAGGTCTCTTTGCTTCTATGCTGGGCCTCCCATAGTCTGTTCCCCCCGCAACAGCCAAAGGGCAACTGTGACAGCCTAAATCCCATCATAGTCATCATCTCCTCTGGAACAGGACTGGCTTGGGCTTCTGGCACAGGAACCCTGGTGCCAGGACTCACGAGATTTGTGGATGCCCAAGGAAATATTTTTATTTCTCTTAGAATCAGAAGAAAACATATATAATAATGAATAGGGCTGGCTGCTGAGCTCAGTTGGTTAGAGTGCAGTGTTATAATAAAAGATCAAGGATTGGGATCCCTGCATTGGCCAGCTGCAAAAATAAATAAATACATAAATAACATAACATATTATAATGAAGCCTGCCTGGATTATATTTATCTTTATACCAATACCATCATAAAACATATTTTAAGGGCCGGCCCAGTGGCGCACTGGATAGTGCGCCGCTTGGGAAGCGCGGCGGCGCTCCCGCCCGAGGGTTTGG